AAAGTTCCAGCTCCCGTGCCCTTTCCATTCTGGGTGCAAAGCAGACCAGACAGAGCCGCCCAGCTGGAATCCCAGCTCTGCCTCCCTGATGTCCCAGGGATGTCTTCTGTGAAAACAGGGCAATGTTTTCGTGAAGATGACGTGAACTGTGATGTGGCAGCTCCTGTCAGGAGTCTGGGACAACCCCCTCCCTCTCCGTTTTCTCCCGAGCGTCCTGAGGGCACAGGGCCTTGGTGGTCAGTGCCTTCCACCAGCCTGCCCGCATCTTGCCTGCCCACTAACACGTCTTTTTACATTACGGGGCTCCCTGGAATTGGGGTGCTAACTGCCCCTAAAGGCCAGGCACACCATTTAATACAAAAACTACTGATGTCCACATAGTACTTACTAGGCTCTGATTCTCTTCGGGCATCTCTGTGGCATCATCTCCCCAACTTCTGAAGAAATCATGGGTTCATTCTTGTACTGTAGGGGGAGGAATCCGAGGCTGAGGGGGGTGGTGCCCTGTTGCCAAGTCCCTGCAGCTGGCGCATCGCGGAGCTGGGACACAAGCCCAGACCTGCAGACTCCGAACCACTCACTGGCTTGGAGACTTCTGCCTCAGGAGGTTCTGGGCCTGTGTGTTTTCCAAAGAATATTCACTTCACTCCTTCTGTAAATGGGGTGCTGCTTTAAAACTTTGAACAACAATTATATCTTTCAAAAATGCTCACATCACCTCTGTTTTCTCTTTGGCTCCTGCACGAATCTGTCACGTGTGGACAGCCCTTTCCAAGTAGCACTTGGCTACTGTTTTTGCAGTTTTGCTCTTCTCTCTGCAGCAGAGAGGTTCCATCCGTCTTCCTGCCTCATTAATCCCAAAGACAACTCAGATTAACCTCTTTTTTAGCATCCAGACTTAGGCCCATGTGCTTTGGTCTCTTGATGAGATGGAGGGGTAAATCCTTTCAGCCCTGCTTGATAATTGGACATTCCCTTCCCGTTCCAGGGAAACTCCCCCAGTAACTGGGGGTAGGACCAGAGTCGGCAGAGTGCTTGTCTTTTCTGGAAGCGAGAATGGTAAAGAAGAGGGAAGTTGACACCGTTATGTAACAGTTGTAGTGTTTGCAGCAAGGATTGCTGGAGCCAAGAGGGAGCTACCTTCGCAAGCTGCTTATTGAGCAATACAGTCTCCAAGTTCAGGAGCACCTTGGAGGTTGGTTAATTGGTCATTTTCTGGATGGGGACATCATGGCTCCAAGAGTTCAATGACCGAAGGAAGGGCTTACATCAGTCAATAGCAGATATATGATGGAACCCCAGGCCCCTTCCCTGTCCATCACTGCTCTTCTCAAAGGTAGCAGATTGACATCTTTTTTTGATTTCCAAGAGGTGAAACTTACAACCTCAGCATGGTCTTGTGTGTGCCAAGGCCCACATGTGTTCAAATAATCAGAAATGGATAAACCAGAGCAACAGAGAACTTACTTCCTTTTCACCAAGTCCAGGTGCTGATGGGAAATGATTTCTCCATCCTGCATCATTTCTTATTCACACATCTTTAGTTTGTGAGACTCCTATTGACCTGAGGCCCTTCCCTGATTGGGTTTCTTCCTGGAGTCCCCCTTGGTCAGCTGAGAGTAGCAGTGAATCAGTGCCTCCTGATTCCAGGGTGCTTGCTGGCCTCCCTTGTATGTGTCCGCCATGATGGTCCAGGGATGCCTGAGGGCACCCGTGGAGGCAATAGGAAGCTGCCTGGGCATCACACTCAGTCACCTCTTCTTGTGGTCGCCATGTTTGCCTGGTTGCAGGGAACAGCCCCCCAGACTGAGAACCCTTCCCCCAGTGCCCTGGATTTCCTTTTAAGAAACAAAGGCACTGGGAACCTCTTTTCAAATGCAGTGTTTCAAATGTATAAACAGGTGAAGGTAGAGCTGCCCTAGCTTGAGGAGCATGGAGGGGGGCCCCTGAATCACTGAATCTCCATGACCCTGTTCTCATCCTCATGCACAGCAGCTCCAAAAGCATAACTGCAAACTCAGGCATTCAAGAAAGAGTTTGAAAATACTGCCTTTGTGTGCAGAATTGCATAGTGAGGTCTTTTCTTCAGCAACAAGGAGGGGTAGCATCAATGGTTTCTTTCTTTCTAATTCTGCTCTGTGTGTGTTTCACTCCTATTAAATCTACCCTGGATCTGAGGATCTGTTCCAGGCACTGTGATAAGTGTTGTATGTGCATTATCTCATTTAGTCTTTAGGACCAGATTAAGGAGGGCAGGTCATGTGCCCAAGGTCACACAACTAGTGAGTGGTGTAGAGTGCTTCAAAACCAGGTCTGTTTGACCTCTGCTCGCCATCCAGTTACCACTAAAAAAACATCTGCGTGGCCAGGCCAGGCCAGCTCAGTTACTTGGTAAAAATTTAACTTGGTACCCAGCACTACATTCCTCATGAGGCAATTTCCAGAATAGAGATATGAACCAGAGCCCGCCAGTATTCATGGTTTCAGATACAAAAAGGGCTTCTTGAGCCATCCACTCTGTCTTATGTGGGTTTGGTATTTAGACTAATTATTATAAATAATAATACTTAAAGTAGAACTAATGAGCCCTGTAATTCAACACCAAAGCTTAGAGACCAGATCATCCGAAAATGTTGTGCTTTGCCTCCTGGAGTTGAATGTTCTTGTGATTTCTGCCATTCTTGAACATAGTGAATCCTTAGACTTAATAGATCACCATTTCCTATTGAGAGGTTAGGCAGGGGTGAAAGGGAAAGCAATGAATTTTTCACTTGAGCTAGAAATCCTTTGATCTTCTTGGGTCCAGTTTTCTCCAGGCCTGTTTTTTAGACCTAAAGTCTGACTTCTCCACATTATGTCACATTGTTATTAACGCTTTAGATGATGGAACAGAGACAACCCCATTAAGTGTTTTTGTGTCTGCCATTTTGATTGGTGACTGTGGCTCAGAGAACCAGATTAAGATGCACAGTGATTGAGCTGTGGGACCTTGGATGGGTGTAAACTAGAGATGGTTGAGGACTGATAGGCACAGGGTAATTGACTTACAGAGGTGGGAAATCTGAGCCATATCAGGAGGGGGGCCTGCAGTATTGTCCATTGATGTGTTGCATGCGGGCTTCATGTCTGATAACCATGAGGTGATGGGAGCCTTAGTAAGATTCAAGCTTTTGTTTCGGTTTGCTATTGAAGTTGGAGTCCTGCAACTGAGCATGACAAAATCCAGGGAAGAGCTACAAAAATTAATAAAAGTTTGGAAGGCAGGCTCTATAACTTATAGGTACTCACAGGTACTAGATTTCTTTACCAAGATGAGCTGCAGCTTAATCAAATAGCATCCAGGAGTATGACTGATGACATTTATGTGTGTGTTTGTTCAAGGTAATATTTATTAGCTACTGTGAAGGCATAAAAATGGCACATTCCTGCAGTGATAGATATTCTCTATTTCCAGCTAAGATGGTCTGGGGGAGAAAAAGTAAAAAGCCCAAGCTGGAGTCAAAATGTACATAGCCATTGAGACTTATTGAGTATTAGGGTTCTAGGAACCTAGTTGCGTGGTAAGAGACTGCTCAAAGACTAAGAGAGAAGAATAGTGTATTTAGGGGGATGATTTGAGTATAGCAGAGCCTTTTGATGCAAAGGCATTGAAGACCTTTCTAGCCTATCTGAGGATTCTAGGATGCTTTCTTCACCATTGGAAGAGACAGAACATTTGAGTCTGGCAATTCTGACTGCATTGTTCTCAAGTCTGTCATCTGATCACTGACTTGTCCCAAAAGGTTTCATATGGAAATACAGTTCCTACCTGCCTCTCCCAAAAAAAATCCCACTGGAATTTTTCCTGGGATTGCAACAATTCTCTTGTTTAATTCCTGGAGAATGGACACCTCTACAGCATCAAGCTTCCTATCCATGACCATGGTATACCTATTTTTTTTAGGGTTTTTTAATGTTTCTCAGCAGGGTATTATAGTTTTCACTGTAGAGATCGTAAACATCTTTCTCTAGATTTATCCCTAGGTATTTGGTGTTCTTTGATGCTGTTGTAAGTGGCATCATCATCCAAACCCCTTGAATGCACACCCAGTAACACCCGTCCACTTCCGTGGGTATGAGAAGCAAAGTAATAATCAGCTTCTCCTTTCCCAAGGCATCAGTGGGCCTTGTCAGAACCCATCAGGGTAAACATGTATAACAGCTTCACTGCTGGAAACCCACTTCAGGATCCAAACGCTGCAGCCCGGAAAGTGTTCTTTTGATCCAACCTAAATTCCTCCAGTTGGCATTCTAGCATATTTTCCTTTTGCGTTTGGTGCACAGTTTGCCTTCCACCAAGATTTCATATCTAGCAGTCTGCTGCTTGAATCATCATGCAGATATTTCCCCCCTGAGTGGTAAAATATGTATAACTTTCATCAGGAGGGAATTTGCTCATGATAGAGTATTAAGTTAAAAAAGATATATATAATGAAAATCAAATTTTATTTTAAAATATATGTGCTTACATAAAAAGATCAAAAGAAAATACATAGCAGTGGTTATCTCTGGGGGACTTATTTATCGACTATTTTTATACAGGTCTCCATTCTCAAAATTTTTATGACAAACATGCATCATCTTTGAACTAAGCCAAAAATAAGCATTCTTGAAAAAAATTATTTGTATTTTTATATTTATATTAAAATTACTGGCCTGAATTTTACCTTTCCCCTTCATTGCGTAAAGCCTATTAAGATGCGCTAGTGCAAGTCAAACAGGTATGCCGCGTACCTTCAGATAATCGGGAAAGAGAAACTTCTTTTTCAGGCATGTCAATTTTCCTGCCAGTCCTCTGAGTAGCTATAAATTCCACTAAGTGCCAAGAATGCGCTCCTCTTGCCTGGGACTCTGCAGCACCTTGCTTTGTGTCCCCTCCCCTGACTCCTGGGTCGATGCCACTTCCGGATGTGTGTCCATCCCCTGTCCGCTGCTCGAGTAACCCCACTGTTTATTGACAGGTTCTCAGGAATCCGATAGCTCTCAGTCGGCCAAGAAAGACATGCTGGCCGCCTTGAAATCCAGGCAGGAAGCGCTGGAGGAAACGCTCCGCCAGCGCCTAGAGGAACTGAAGAAACTCTGTCTTCGAGAAGCTGTAAGTAGTTCACATTTCGTGTGTGTGTGTGTGTGTGTGTGTGTGTGTGTGTGTGTGTGTGTTCCTCTGTCTTCACATAGTTACAAAAAGCAAAGGTGGGGATCACACAGAGCACATCAGCAGGAGGCAGAACGGCTTCTGAAGCACGAATGTGGGACTCCCAACCCGTCTTATGGCCCTGTCATTAACATAGGGGTGGACCTTCATGAAACACGGGAACAGCAGGTGGAGCGGCTCTGCCCGAATCCTCGGTGCGGCCCCACTGGAGACCAAATGACTAGTGTAATTGGCAGTCCCTTCCATGTGCGCGGTGCACCATAGTTTATGAAGCGTCTCCTCCTGTGTTGTTACCTCCTTGGAAATACTGGCTTGCCACCATCTTCCTAAAATTTGTGCCCAAGTTTATTGTCATGGTGGCTTTTGTTTCTCTTGAGGATATCTTGAGGATATTTCACATGGATTGGTCTTTGGAAATCCTCTGGAGAAGCCTCAGTGGGGATCAACAAGGAAACCAAGATTTTGCTTGATATATAATGCCCTTTAAAACTCATGATCTAGTGCTTCGCTTTTTTTTTTTTTAAATGAAGTCTCAGCCTAGTGATATTTTTAAATTTTACGCAAAGCAAGGCTTCTTCCAGCCCATGTATACACTGGTCTCGTGTTGCCTTGGGATTTAGACCCTGTGGCCTGCCACTGTCTGTATGTTCTGGAACATCCACTTCTATCTTCATTCCATGACTGTTAGCATGTTTGAAAAGTTGATTTATTAATGCAAGACAGGTGACTGGGGGGATGTACGCACACGCATGAGCATGTGCTTGCACACGGACACGATGGGGTGGGGGCCCTTGGGAGAGCAGCTATGCTCTGCATAACGTTACAGAGAGCTCTGCAGGTCAACAGTTCAGACTGGGAAGCAAAAGAGGTTCCTGAGCGGAGTTGAAGTGTGTAATCCCCTCCCCCCAAATCCCAGGCCTTGCCCCAGGAAGAATGAAACAAGGGGCTATAGAATTAGATCACATTACATTTCAACTTGGCTTAATATTAGGCTCTGGGTTGATTTAAACCGGAGCCCGCACAAAGCAGACCCACTTGAGCATTAGTCCACTCCACTGCAAAGCTTTGGAAAGCAGCTGGCCTGGCCGGGAGATGTGCTCTGAGATACTCTCAATATTAGTCACCTTTTCATAGGGAATATGCTGAAAGCATTGAAAAAATATGGGCTTGGGTGTCTGCATTTAATAATTTGTAAAGCCTTGTTTTGTTTTTAATAAAGGAAATGTCCCTAAACCCAGCAGGGAATCTGCATCAGAAGGTTGGAGGACCATGTCAAGGCAGGGTTAGCATGCATTATAAAGGCCTCCCTGTCTCTCTTGAAATAAAAGCAAAATAAGGAAAACAAAGTTCCCACTTCTTAGGGTGTCAGACACCAGAAAACAGAACTTGAGTGGAAGGAGGCGCCTCTCTGGGGAAAGGGGCCCTGGGGGCAGATGGCTTCTGTGCTTGCTCAGCCCAGCTCCTGACGCCCCCGGAGTGAAGGGGTGGGACAACTTTCTCAGTAAGTGTCTCAGTAAGTGTTGCGTTCTTTCTCTGGGTCACACCCTGCATCCTCAGCTCAGTATGGAGAAGTGCTGTTTGTCCGCTGGGGAGTGAGCTGAGCGTGTGGCTGGATGTAAGCAGTATCAGAACAGAAGGGAGCAAGCGGCCCCTCCTCAAGGCAAGAGCGCGTGAGAGTGCTCCTTCCCCCTGCGCCTCTTACATGTGCAGTCGGATTAAATATGGAGAATCAAGGGCTTGACTCCAGGACCTTCCAGCGGATGGTGGAAAATCAGGAGCCTCGTGTTTTTAAAGCAGTCGGTTTCAAAACCACAGACACTTTAGAGTTATAAATCAATGGTCCCCTCCTTTTTGTAAGTCTCAAAGTAGAAAGGAAAAGTCTTAACAATATAAAATCCTCAGTGTGTTGTGTTATTTATAGACCGGCTTCTAGGGCAGTAGATAAAAATGTTGCAGAATAAACACATAACTACTCTGGAGACATTTGAACCACATTTTTTAAAAAAACAGTGAAGAAAATTGCAGAGCATTTCATACTCAATAGTTGGCCATTATGTTCTGAAATGCTTACCCTAGGGAGTGAAAAGCCCAAGAGTTCATTTCCTGGTGGCCTGAACACAGAACAAGAGAGGCTCAGGAGAGTGAGCGGTGGGTGTGTTTGTGCATGCCAGTTGCGCTCTCTCACACACACACATGCACATATGCACACCCCAGTGCATGCACACACACAGCCTAGTCTCACACTCACACACACACCACACACACATATACACACACTGCCCAGTGTATGTACACATATACCCCAGTACACACACCCTGTTGCACTTACACACACCTCAGTGCACAGATACCCTACCCGTACACCCACCCAAGTGCACACACATACACCCTAGTCTCACACCCAGTGCATGCATGCACACACACACCAATGCATACACATACACAGCCTGTTGCACAGTTGTGCACACACACACACGCGCGCGCAGTGTATGGACCCACCCCAGCGCACACACATACACCCATCTCACACCCAGTGCATGCATGCACACACCAATGCATACACATACACAGCCTTGTGGACACTTGTGCACACACACACACACACACACACACGCAGTGTATGGACCCATCCCACAAACACTCCAGTGTGCACAGACACAGCAGTGGGGAAAGGCCAGATCCCTCCTCCTATTAGAAGGTGAGTGAACACCTCGAGTCCGGTGTTTGGGGCTTCTTCACCCATTGCACACTTGCCCTGGGCTGCCCGGCACAGAAGGTATTTGTGCAGACGGACAGGGAGCTCTTCCGTGTCGGAGTGGCCCTGTAGGCATTGACTGGGGCCTGGAAACCCAGGGCTGGGCTTTGCCCATGGCTCTCCCACATGCCTCCTGCCCCTGGAAGTGACTCTGTGAACTTGATGCCTTGGCTCCACCACGTGGATTAGCCACTGACTCAAATTTGATCTTTATTTCCAGACATGACTCCTAATATGGAGCCTCGTTCTAATCCAGAATCACTCCACAGACCGGCGACTGCTGGGGCCATAGTCACTGTGGTGATCCATCAACGAAGTTCACTGTCGTCATGTTCACACAATTAGATTTCTAAGAGCTGACAATGCACAACAGATCTTTTTTAATGGCCTTGTCAGTAAAATGGATTATCTTTTCAGTTTCTACTGAAACTCTTTATTTGTATACATGTAATGTTTTTTAAGCTCAGTCTGCTCCTTGAGCACCTAGCCTGAGTGGAATAATTATTATTTATGTTCAGTTTCTAATTTATGTAATATGCTCCTTTCCTGGCTTTGCTATTTAGATACCACTCCTCCTAAGAACGCTCACTTGAAGGACATTTTGAACTTAGATATTTGCGAGGGAATATTTGATGAAGTAGAAAGAGCACAGAAACTGGAAAGACCAGAGCTCTCGTGTTGGCTGTGGGGTCCCACCGGGCATGTAGCAGGCACAGGGGAACACTTGGGAAATTAACAAATGGGTGAGATTCGGGTTTTATGATGAAAGCCAATGGTGATTTTATTTACCCAAAAGAAATTTACTTTGGGAGAAACTTTTCGAAGCACATCTGCTCTGTAAAGAAAGGACTGCTCTCACACTTTTTTAGAGAAATGAGGGGCGCCTGGGTGGCTCAGTCAGTTAAGCGTCTGCCTTCGGCTCAAGTGGTGATCCCAGGGTCCTGGGATCGAGTCCCACGTCGGGCTCCCTGCTCAGCCGGGAGCCTGCTTCTCCCTCTCCTCCCCTCCCCCAACTCATGCATGCACTCCCTCGCTCTCAAATAAATCTTAGAAATGAAATTGCATTTCAGGAGCCCTTAGACGTATCGCCAGAGGTGACAATTTCAGGTCTCTGCACTGAATCTATGCTTTGAAGCACGTGCATGAGCACGCATGCGTCCTAGAAACCGAGCACGTGCCCTCTTCTGATTTCTGTTCTCGTGCTGTTGCACATATGCAGGAGCTGACAGGCAAGCTGCCGGTTGAGTATCCCTTGGATCCAGGGGAGGAACCACCCATTGTTCGAAGAAGAATCGGGACAGCCTTCAAGCTGGATGAACAGAAAATTCTGCCCAAAGGAGAGGTGTGTCCTTCGTGATGTTGTTGGATTCTCTCACCTTAGCCATATTTGTCCCAAGTGTTGGGGCGTCCGGGTTTTCTGTAACAAGGTCTTCATTCTACCCTAATGCCAAAGGTCATTTCCCCTTTCCTCCCCAGTATCTTCCCTTTTCCCTTTTAAGTTGGCTGCTCAGTCAGTGTGGGGCTCCCCTGGGTAGGATTCGTTAGCTTGCATGAGTAGGCGTTTTGATTTCTGTGCAAGTTGTTTGTCTAACATGATAGGCCTGTCACAAGTGACTAAGTGAAGCTTGGGAGACCATCCCAGAGACACTGAGGTGTACCTGTCTTATTAATGCCTCCAGCTCTTTGTTCCTCAGAGCCCAGCCTCTTGTGGGAGGAAACAACCAAAGGAGAAAGGAAACTCAGGTCATGCCAGTGGGCGCAAGGATGCCACTGGCTGGGGAAGGACCGTAGGGCCTGCCCTCAGGGGCCTTCCCTTCACCTTGCTGCTAACTTTGCCGCCAGCGGATGAGCAAGATGCTGGGCTGTCCCGATGTCATTTGTCTGCATTTGGAGGAGCCACTGAAGCATTGCTCATTTGTCCTCTTTGACACTAAATGTGGCTGGGGGCTGGGGCAGGAGAGTCCAGATCTGGGGAGGTGCGGGCACTTAGGTCTCCATCTGGTTAACAAGCTCTCTAGCCTCAGATCAAGAGAGATTCGAGGCCAGGCAAACCTTTAGGCCTCAAGGTCACGTCCAGGAAAAGTCTTCCTGGATTTATTCTGAATGAAGTTACTAATTAAAATGCTCTTGGCCAGAAGGCTTACAAGAACAGGAATCAAAGCCAAGGGGGAAGGGTGGGGGAATGCTGTGGCCATGTTGAAATGTACAGTCTCACAAAAGGGATTGAGAGGAGCTGATGTTCTTGTGTCACAGCCGCCGTGGGTGGGTGGGAGGGTGAATTTGGGGTGGGGGACGCACGTGCCCTGCAGCCTACAGCTGGGGACCAGTCTGAGATGGGCCCTCGCAGGGCCCCGGGGGACAGGCGGACTCACCAGAGGCTTCAGCCACACGTCACGCTCTGCGGTTTTCCTCTTCCGGAAGAGGAACTTCATAATCCTTACATCTCGGAGCGGTTGCTGGGATTACGTGCGCTGGCGTGGGGGAAGCACTTAGCTTGCTACCTGACACCTGCCTCGCGCTCAGTGAGCATGGGTTGCTGCGAGCAGAGAGGAGACAGCAGAAGCAGGGGTGAGCGGGGCTAGGATTTAGGAGACCATCAGGTCAAGTACTTTTCAAATCCGGCTGTCTCCGGGATTGCCTGAGGAACTTCCACTCTCTTCTGCTGGACAGACAGCTGGACTAAACTTTGAAGAGCAGACCCCACCTTATCAAGTGCCCACAGCCCCGAGTGCCTTCCCACCAGCGGCTTCTTCCCACTGCCCAGTAAGCGAGGCCTCGCCATCCCCGAGAAGTCCGTGTGCACCCGTCTCCCTTACCTGTCCCTGCATGTCCTGGTCCAGAGTTGGTGACAGGAAGCACCCCCGAGTCGGCACGAGCGTGTGCCGAGCGCCTGTAGGAAGGAAGGGCTCCCCACCCCCAACTCCATCGCTGCCTCTGTTTCTCCTGGGAACGCACTTGGCTTCCCGGTCCACACCGCAGGCAGCCATTTGGACAGCCAGGGCCGGCGGCCTTGTGCGTGTCTGTGCCGGGAGCTTGAGCTGGTCCTGGGCTCCCACGCCGGGTCAGGTCCCGGGCCAGGGCCCCCCTCACTGCCCGAGAACAGCTGCCTCTAGCACTGAAGCCTCACAGACCAGCCTTCGTCCCGGGTGCCTTGTTGGTCTCAAGACCCCGGGCGGGAATCCACCCCCACGTTCCTCTCCCTCCGGAGAGCGAGCGCAACCACCGTTCGAAGGACCTGGAAGGAGTTTATCATCTCCGAAGCAGTTCTGTGTAATCTGCATGCTCCCCTCTCCTTCCTGGTCCCTGCTCCCCTCTGGCTTAAGGTGCTCAAACAGATGAATCCGGCTAAGGTGCTGGGCTCGATGGAGGCTCCCAGCCTGGTACGTGCTGCCCAGAGGCAAGTCTTTTTTATGCGGCCGGTAACCGGGAAGATCTGCCCGTTCCCCCAAACACGGTGATGGGTTCCCTCCTGGTTTGGTCCGTTCCTGTCAGATTGTTGAAGAGGTGGGCAGCCTGCAGGCCGTCCCCGTTCACCCCGCCCAGCCCCGACGGCCACAGCCACATTTCTCCTGGCACCGAAACTGTTTGAGGGCACATCCACCCATCTGCTCCTTCTGGCCAAAGGCAAGGGTGGAGGCCGCAGGGAGGTGCCCAAGGGGAGGACAGAGAATGCCCTAAAGCAGTCCCAGGAGTGGGGCCGGGCTCCTCCGCCCTCCCGGCTGTGCCTCGCTGCCCAGCACGGCTGCCAGTGGGCAGGTGTGAGGACAGCAGGAGCTTATAGAAAGGGCTTCCGAAAGAGGTCCTGAGGGCGGGGTACATCCCATCACGAAGGGCTCAAAATACGAGAGACAGAGGGCCCATGTGAGCTCCCTGCTGCAAACTCATAGAAGCCCGCTCTGGAAGTAATGGTGCATCCTCAGCCCAAGATGGCAAGGAGTCGCCAACCAAACAGGCTCTGATTTCCGCGAGGGTCTGGTCTTCGTGAGCCTTGAGACCAAGGAGATGAAGCCAAGTGACCCCCTGCCTCTGGCCTGCAGCTGGGAAGCTCTGCTTCTCGGAGATGCTGCCCGGGTAGTGACCCACACTCGTCTCCTGACCCTAACGGGCCAAGGGTCTCAAAAGTGGGAGTGCCCAGGGCCTGGCGGGCAGAGATTTCGGGAAAGGGGCCATCGCGGGGCCAGGCAGGGTTGGGGCTAGGTACTGGGAGTGCTGGCTTCCTAGTAGGAGAGTCTCCCAAAGAGTAGGGCGCGCTGGCCTGGGGGCGGGGGCAGGGAGGACAGTGCCTCCCTTAACCCTTGGCTTAGTGTCCCCGAAGTGTCAGCAAGCCCCATCTCTCCCTCCCACAGGAAGCCGAGCTGGAACGCCTGGAACGAGAGTTCGCCATTCAATCCCAGATTACGGAGGCTGCCCGCCGCCTCGCCAGTGACCCCAATGTCAGCAAAAAACTGAAGAAACAAAGGAAAACCTCTTATCTGAATGCACTGAAGAAGCTGCAGGAGATTGAAAATGCCATCAACGAGAACCGCATTAAGTCCGGGAAGAAACCCACGCAGAGGGCTTCGCTGATCATCGCCGGTGAGTGCTAAGCCCACCCCCCGTGGGGCCTCGCGACCCAGGCCCACGCCGGGGAGCGGGTGCAAAGCTGGCTCCCTGCGGGACCTGAGCAAGCCCTTTAACTACCCTGGGCCTTATTATTATTTTTTTTTTAATCTGTAAAGCGAAGCTAATAAGGCCTGATACCAAATGAGAGCAATAAAGGGTGCTCAGGTGCACAGAGGAGGGAGATTATACAAGTCAACCTGTCCTGATCGCTACTTAGTGCCCCCTTGGGAGACCTGCAGCCCTGAGCTACAGGCTCTTCCCTGCCCTCACCAGGAGCTGGGCTGAGCTCACCGTGCCAGGTCAGCCTTGCTGGAGTTGCCCAGGCTCTGACCTCCTCAGGGACCTGATCACCCTACCTCTGGGTGGCCGGGGTACACGGCAAGCCAGCACCCCCTCAGAGCCTCTGTCTTCAGACAGACCAGCTCCAAGGGTTCCTGTCCCAGAGCTGAAGCTGGGGAGGATGGGGCCGCCCCACTCTGCTGTCCAGACCCCTGAGCTCAGGTCAGCGGGGGTTAGGAATCTGGGTGACTCTATTTGGTAAACACTAGAAGGAAATATCCCCAAATCCACCAACACCATCAAGTCCTCCAACGGTTACAATCCTTTTTTTCTATGTTTAGCAAACTCTTTAGAATATATGTCAAGTATTCTTTCATGATTTACTCGTTTAAAACACTTTTGTTCTAGGAAGACCAAAAGTGGAATAGAGGTTCCCAGGGGCCAGGGGAGGCGGAATGGGGAGTTAGTATTTGATGGGTACAGGTTTTTGTCTGGGAAAATGAAAACGTTCTGGAGACAGATGATGGTTGCACAAACAATGCGAATAGACTTAATGCAGCTGAAGGATACAGCTCACAGTGGTTAAAACGGTAGATTTCATGTTGTGTATATTTTACCACAATTATATATATTATATATGTATAAGTGATATATAACATATAAAATATAATTGTGCAACCTTAGAATGTGGGCTTACTAGGGAAGCCACCCTATACTGGAAACTCCCAAGACGCCAAATTCAAGGTTCTCTGCCCCGTAGTTGCTCACAGTCCACCAAGCAATACAATTAAAGTGACTCCCTAGTTGAGGAGAACAAGAGAGAGGCCATAAACAAATCCTTCCCCTCTGGGAAATTTGGAATAACCATTTTTCCCCATCGTGCCCCATCGTCCTTGGCCAAGACTTTGTCCTTTTGTCGCCCACTTCCGAACAGAGCTGCAGCAAGCCCTTGTCTGTGTGATGCCTCTTTGGGGACATCTTTGTGGCCCTTGAAGGCCCTCGGGGAGTCGCGGCTCTGCGGGAGCACCCAGCATGGTCACCAGAGCCAAGCCTGGGAGGGGCACCTGTCCCTGGCTGGCCACGGAAGAGCCAACTTCCCAAGCCTGCCCGGCGAGGGCTATTCTGTGAGCCCTGCCGCTAGGGTCTGTGTTCAAATCTGTGTCTGTCCCCCCAACACAGGGTCCCATCCAGGTTTGCAGCCTTTTTTTTTTTTTTAACTGTTCAAGAATATACCTTCTTTATTTTGCTGCATCCTTGACATAATGTTTCTGCTGCGCCCGAATTAGAGGAATAATTCCAGTTCTCCGTAGTTCCTTAGCCTGGTGTTTTATTTCAAGAGCTAAAACACCAAACGTGGAACTGCAGACCTGGGACCTTTGGCTCCTTTTGCCAGGAGAGCAGACCAACTGCCTAGAGACCACTCCTCCCTAGGCGGGCCTCAGTTTCCCCAGATGTTAAAGAGGGAGGATCATTTGGCTCCCTCTTGGGCGCATCCTCATGGTTAACTAGTGTCTATAAAAATAAACCTTGGAGAGAGAAGCTGTACTTAGCAGCTTGTTTTCACTACTAATGACTTGAGAAGTTTATGGAGAAGACATTTATGGCCATAAGAGCAAAGCCAAGTTCCTCACCCTGGTTTCGAGTGTGTAGAATAAAGAGCAGTTCACTCCCTTTGGTTCAGTTGGAACATGCCCTGAGATTGGGCCGGGACAATGATGCGGCTTCACCAGGCCAGGCGGCCTTTATCCTGGATACCAAGTTACTCAGCACTGCCAGGTCCCGGGAAACAAGAGCACAGACAGAGACCCTGGGGCACAGCGCAAGCGTCAGGTGTGGGGGCTGTGCCAGTGACCCCTCCCCCCCCCCCCCCCGGGACTGTCCAAAGAAATGTCAGCCAGCATTTTGATTGTGTTTCATGCGATCTTTCTGATCAGAAGGAGGAGGACATTATGGTCTTAAATGCAGGATTTTTACAGATTGGGCTTTGTCTGAGGGATGGGCGAAACTCATGGACTTTTGCTTTTTGTCTTCTCAGATGGAAATATTGCCAGTGAAGACAGTTCCCTCTCAGATGCCCTTGTGCTAGAGGATGGTAGGTTGTTCGTTTCCTGCTTCAGACCTCGGGCCCAGATCAGACGGGCATTAAAGGGTGCGTCGTCGGGCACAGCTTGGTGGAAAGGCAGGAGCCGGGCCCAGGTGGCAGCTGGGTGCTCCACGAGTCCCTCGTCCCCAGCACTCCACCCTAGTGGTTGGGAGTGGGTGGGTTCAAGGTCTACTCATATCTGTTGGAACTTGAGTATCTCCTGTGGCCCAGAGGTAGCGGTTAAGGTGATAGACCGTGAATGGTGTTCTGCGTTGTATTTGCCAAAACCACTTTTGTATCTAAACACCGGGTGCAGTTGCCTTTTGACTGTTCATCATTTCTGGAGGAGAGAGGTGGACTTTGGTTGGATCACAAATCAAAGATGGAAGCCTACTAGGAAAGCTTGGGGGTGGCAAGAAGAAAACCAGCCCTCCACATCATCCTGAGAAATCGTAAAGATGAAAGGGAAGATGTCCCTTTAGATTGCTGGTCAGGCCTTGAAACTGTCTTGTTATTTTCCATTAACCTCTGGAAACCCAGAGGTTATCAGGATATTTTCTTGGGAAAGTTCTTAGAACCAATCCCTCATACCTACCCCCCAGCCGCCCCCCACCCCCCCCCCCCCCCCCCCCCCCCCCCAGCACACACACACGAAGGAGGAATTCCAGGCACGGGACCATCTCTGAGAATGTTCTGTGGGTTTAAGCCAAAACTTGGAAGGCCAGGACATTAATGATATGGAAATATATTAAGCGGCAGTTAATTTTTTTTGCACTTTAGGGAAACCTCATGTGGGCAGTGCTAAGAGGCTATTCAGACAGAAAATATAAAACGGTCTACCCAGCGCAGAGCCATGATGATCATTGCGAGGCTAATAATAGTGCTATTGATGTGGGGAGAGGCTAACAGGTTATTTACCCGGAGGTCTTGGCCCTGCTCTTAGCAGTCAGGTTGTAATATTTTTATTATCCGCTTCCTTACACGGGTGGGGATGAGGCCAGGCTGCAGGTGAGCAGGGAGAGGCGTTCTGAGCATGGGAGGTCCAGCCCTGGTTCTGGCCTCTGTGGACTGCAGTCTCTCCAAAGGAGGGAGCACGGATGGTTGCTGAGAGTCCGTTGTGAGAGAGAAGTTGGGGAGGAAGGAGCCTGTGGTTGTGAGCTAACGTGGCCGCCTCGTTGGCGGTTAGTCTCCGGAGCCCCTGGTGTCCTGAGGGGCATTACTGCCTCACCAGGACCCCCACTCCCGCTGCAGGCTGGCCCCGTCTAGGGGCTCTTGCCTTCACTGATCTGAGGGGTGGACACACTGGATGTCTCGCTCTCCCTTCACCCCTGCCTTGGCCCTCTCCCGGCCTTGCCCGTTTTGAACCCGGACAGCTGACTGGCTCTCAAACAGGATTTTCATCCTGACACATCCATGCTTACAAAGTTGCTAAGTCTTCTAATGGCTTTCAGACCAAATCCCCATTCCTCAGCTGGAATCAAAGGCCCCCCGTGAGCTCACCTCTGGGGGGCACAGCAGGTCAGCTGCACCAGCCCCTGCCAGGAGCTCCCCGCTCTCTCCCTCCTCCTCCCCCTCACCGGCCGCCACCCCGGCTGGACGTGGCCCCGGGCCCTTCCTCTTCACTGCCCGTCCACTGCTGAATTCCCCTCAGCACATCGGGCGGGATAGATCGTGACTCCCTTGAAGGCAAGGAATAATCTTCCATGGAGTTTAATATCTGTGGCCTATCTCCTTCCTGAGGAACCAAAGGCAGGTCCAAGAGGAAAACCTCCAGGAACATATTAAAAGACAATAGAGATCTGAGGAAAGCAGAGAGGGTGGGCACCCAGAGCCACCAACAGATAATGACACTCAACATGCATACTTTCTTTCATTTCTTCTAACAAGTATCTATTGAGCCCCTGCTGTGTGCCATCATTCTGGGCACTGAGGTGGCAGAAGTGAACCAAACAGAACCCTCACAGAGCTAAAACTGCTCCAGAGCAAATTAGACGCTTAGGGTCCATGGAAAGACAACTTGACAGTATAATCAGGACTCCATTCTGCTGTTTGGTATGAAGCCGTCATGCGCTGTGGGTCTTTAATGGCATTCGGGCTTCCCTTGGTCTGTAGCTAATCCAAAGGGAAACTCCTCTCCCCACTGAGTGCTGCTTGAAGTGTCGGTTTGGTTTGTTCTGGTTTGACCTGTCTGGGCAAGTGGGAAAGCCGCGGGGTGCTCTCACTGAGCCTGGCAGGGGTGGGTGTGGGTGGGGCTGGGCGGGGCTGTCTGGGCCGGTGGGAGGGGCCCTTGCTCAGTTCGTCTCTCTCCATCTCTGCGCAGAAGACTCTCAGGTCACCAGCACACTGTCCCCCTTACAGTCTCCTCACAAGGGACTCCCTCCTCGGCCACCGTCACACAACAGGCCCCCCCCTCCCCAGTCCCTGGAGGGACTCCGGCAGATGCACTATCACCGCAACGACTATGACAAGTCCCCTATAAAGCCCAAAATGTGGAGCGAGTCCTCTTTGGATGAGCCTTACGAGAAGGTCAAGAAACGCTCCTCCCACGGCCATTCCAGGTGAGCCGGGTCAGGGAGGCCACAGAAAAGACACAAAAACCAAAAAACAAAGGCTGTCCCAAATAGCATCCACAAGTTGCAGAATCGCATCTGGGCTGATGCCCTTCCTCCCGGGGTGGCGGGTCCGCCGTGCTGCGCTCACAGCGCCCTCTGCTGCTGACCCTGTCGAGGTGCAGCTCGGTCGTGCACAAGGAGAGGGGGTTGGGGCTCACAGTGGGCGTGTCGGCACAGGGCTAGGATGTTGTGCAATGACACGGGAGTCAACGAGCAAGTCGGGGGCAGCACTACTCTGCACCGCAAGTGAGAGGCCACTCGTAAGAATCCCAGAGTGGCTCAGAACCCTGCAGCGTCCTCCGCCAAGAATCTGGAGCCAGACAGCTGTCCTGCTAGCTGTGCCTTATCAGCTCATTACTGGGCTGAGATTGCAGAGAGGGATGTTTGGAAGGCATTTTTGGTCCGTTTCTCTGTTTTTCTCGTTGCTTTTAATTACGCCCTTTAGAGCTCCCAGTGGCCATCCAGACAGGTAAATATCTGTCGGTTGGAAACCAGAAACTGTGGCTGAGGGCAGGGACTACGCAGAACAAGGCTGATGAGGGTGTTTGTCTCACACTGCCGAGGGGATCGGGAATGGGGACCCTCCACCCACTTCTGGGGGGGACGGCTGAGTACCACAGTAGGAATCCAAGGGAGAGGTGGGGCGGTCCTGGGCAAGCTTTCCCGACACCAGGGCTGATGTCCGCGGCTGGGTGGCCCCCTGGGAAGAGGGACAGTTGTGTCTGGCGGTGACCAGCCTGGTGTCCTCTGGCTTGCAGCACCCACAAGCGCTTTCCCAGTACCGGGAGCTGTGCCGAAGCTGGAGGGGGCAGCAGCTCCCTGCAGAACAGCCCCATCCGCAGCCTGCCCCACTGGAACTCACAGTCCAGCATGCCGTCCACCCCAGACCTCCGGGTCCGGAGTCCCCACTACGTTCATTCCACAAGGTGAGTGTACCAGGCCTTTGGGCCTCTTCCCTCCCTCGAGTGGACCTCCCTTTGTGAGCCTTGGCATGGCTGGCCCCAAACTGGCCCAGAGAATTGGTGAACTTGGGTCAGGCCTGAACCAGCGGGGTAGGTTCCTGTTAAAGCAAAGCAGGATGAAACCCCAGCAGGCAGCGGGCAGCCCACGTTAGCCATGAGACCTGTTCTTATCCCAGTGGCTACGTCCAGTGGGCGCCCAGGAGTTGCCTGGAGAATCTCCGGGCTTCTGGAAGCAGTGGGCATGAGGGAGCTTTCCTTTTTTTTTTTTTTTTTTTTTTTTTTAAGATTTGTTTAAAGTTTGTTTATTTAAGCAATCTCTACACCAGACGTGGGGCTCGAACTCGCAGCCCTGAAAGGAAGAGCCACGTGCCCTGCTGACTGAGCCAGCTGGGCGCCCCATGGAGGGAGCTTTGCTAATCCACATGGAGGCAGGACGGGCTAGCCAGATTAGCGGGGAAGCATGCTGCACACACAACAGCGTTGCACAGATGCGGGTGACCTCTATTCTATAGCCTTCACATAGCTTCTGACTGATGCCTCGTTTATCCTGGACTTTTTAATGCCTCAAGCCTATAAATTCATTGAAAAGCAAAAAGAACAGGCAAAAGCGAAGCTGTGAATCCCACCTTCTTTTTCTGAAATGAGGCAAAACCAAAGCCATCATTCCATTTTATCAAAAACTGATTGCCCAGGACTGTGGCTCAAAGGATGGATTTACATAGGGTAAGATTGAGCTCCCCAGGCAAGATCGTCTCCTTCATTCTTTCATGCAACAAATTTTTATCAAGTGCCTTTACGTACCAGGGACCCCCACAGGGGATAGAGCAGTGAACAAAACAGACCACACTCCAGCTCTCAGTGGGGTGACATTTTAGCAGTGGGGAGTCACAGGAAAGAAAGATGTCAAGTGGTGATAAGCACAAAGAAGAAAAAGGAACAGGAGAGGAGCCCTACACAGTGGAAAGACAGACTGTGTGTGAAGTAAGAGCATCAGAGGACAGGGAAGTTCTCTTTCATAAGGTGACATCTGAGCAGAGAGCTGAGTGGACGGGGTAGCAGGTTCTGAGGCTGTCTCGGGGAACAGCAGGGCCCACGCCCCAGAGGCAGGCCCACACTTGGCATGTTCCCAAGAGGCCAGTATGACCAGAGCCGGTGATGGAGAGGGTGGGACCGGAGAAGAAACTGAGGACCGAGTCTCGGAGGGCCCCTCACCGGGGACCTCACGTTCTACCCTGAGTGACCGTCAGAATGGGAACTCACCTCTTCCTGTATTGGCCAGTGGGACCACCCTGGATGCCACACCTGTCCTATAGCATTGTCCACGCCAGCAGCAGAGATGGATGTTTATAGTGTGGACTCAAAAAAAGACGGGGTTGTAGACAAGGTAGTCATATGGTAAGTATTTGCACGGGTCATTTCTAAGTGCTCTGTGGTCCAGCAACCTTCCATTTTAGAGTGTCAGGGGAATGGAAATCCAATGTTGTGGGTTTCATAATAGTATTTGGTTGAACCCTGTGAAGTGCCCTCTGTTGGACTTTTTTTTGAGCTACAAAAAGGGGGCATTTCATCTGATTTAACATAATGCTAGAATAGGGATTCTCTTGGATCTTTGTATCTATAGAAGCCCTTTTCCCCATTAAAAAAAAAAAAAAAACGCCAGGCTACTGGCGTATTTTTTCAGGGGACGCTCTTCCGTGGGTGCCCGCTCCTGTCCCACGCCCACTCGGAATCAGGCATCGCAGGCGAGGCCCAGCTGGCCTCCAGGCATCTGCGGTCCCCTCCGGCCGCTGTGTTCACCTGGCGTCAGCAGGGACCACCCTGACTCCTGGGGCAGTCCTGCTTCTACCCGGTCTCCTAGACGCGCGTTCGCTGGCGGCTCTGACCAAATGACAATTGTGCCCTGTCCCGGGTCCGAGGATGGCGGAGCCCGCTCCCCGCCACCCCCCCTGGGGCCCCCATCCGTCCCCCCCCCCCCCCCCCCCCCCCCCCCCCCCCCCCCCCCCCCCCCCCGCAGGTCGGTGGACCTCAGCCCCACGCGGCTGCACAGCCTCGCCCTGCACTTTAGGCACCGGAGCTCTAGCTTGGAGTCCCAGGGCAAGCTCCTGGGCTCGGAGAACGACACGGGGAGCCCCGACTTCTACACCCCACGGACTCGTAGCAGCAACGGCTCCGACCCCATGGACGACTGCTCCTCCTGCACCAGCCACTCGAGCTCGGAGCACTACTACCCGGCGCAGATGAACGCCAACTACTCCACGCTGGCCGAGGACTCGCCGTCGAAGGCGCGCGCGCGGCAGCGGCAGCGGCAGCGGGCGGCGGGCGCGCTGGGCGCGGCGAACTCGGGCAGCATGCCCAACCTGGCGGCGCGCGGCGGCGGCGCGCACGGCGGCGGCGGCGGCGCGCACGGCGTCTACCTGCACAGCCAGAGCCAGCCGAGCTCGCAGTACCGCATCAAGGAGTACCCGCTGTACATCGAGGGCAGCGCCACGCCCGTGGTGGTGCGCAGCCTGGAGAGCGACCAGGAGGGCCACTACAGCGTCAAGGCGCAGTTCAAGACCTCCAACTCGTACACGGCGGGCGGCCTGTTCAGGGAGAGCTGGCGCGGTGGCGACGAGGGCGACGCGGGCCGCCTGACGCCGTCGCGCTCGCAGATCCTGCGGACTCCGTCGCTGGGCCGAGAGGGCGCCCACGACAAGGGCGCGGGCCGCGCCGCCGTCTCGGACGAGCTGCGCCAGTGGTACCAGCGCTCCACGGCCTCGCACAAGGAGCACAGCCGCCTGTCGCACACCAGCTCCACCTCCTCGGACAGCGGCTCCCAGTACAGCACCTCCTCCCAGAGCACCTTCGTGGCGCACAGCAGGGTCACCAGGATGCCCCAGATGTGCAAGGCCACGTCAGGTGAGCGGCGGGGAGGGACCGGGCCCGGGGTGGGGGCGGGGCGGGCGTCGCCGGGGTGGGAACTGGCGGCTCCGTTTCCGGGGCTTCCAGGTTTGCTCAGAGTATCGGCAGTTCTGGAAACCTTGGCGTCAGACAGCTGAGGCTGGAGGCCTTCGGGCAGTCCCCCTCTCCTTCAGGGCCTCGGTTCCAGCCCGGGTTTCACCCGGGGCGAAGTCCTCGGACGGGGTGGGCCAGCGCTGGGCTTACTGGCCCCCGCTTCAGCTTCCGAGGAGGTCGGGGCGCAAACCCTCCGTCCAGCCACTTCTTGTAGGGACAGAGACGCTCCGTGCAGACGGCTCTCAGCCTTTGTCCAGAGACGCTAGTCACGGACCCGAGTGGCCCCTGTGCGGAGGGACGCTGGCGGCTTGGGCGCCGGGGCCCCGGTTTTCGGCGGTGTCCCCTGGGGTGGGGCTCGGCAGCGGCGGGGTGGAGTAGCGCACAGAGATCAGCTCTGAGAGCTGAGTCCTACTGCTCCCGAGTCCTCATCTCCGTGATGTTAGGAAGGTGACCAGAGGAATTTTGGTAAAGGGCTTTCAGTACTTGATAATTTCATCATGGAAGGGTTACTTCTTCTTCTTGTACTAAGAGCACTGAGCAGGGCCAGAAGGGACGCGCCACCCTTGGCTTCAGAAGCTACTCTCCCTTCCCCGCCCCTCCCTGGGAAAGAACGGTGCTGACAGTGGCCGTCAGTGCGCAGCGGTGCCGGGCAGGGCTCTCAGCGCGCACGGAGGGGGGCTGCTCGGCCAGGGGGCTCCGCTCAGACAGCATGAGGGAAAGAGAGGGGAGGGTGTTGAGACATGATAAAGTGGTTTCTAAAAAGGGAAGAATGAAGTAAGAGTGAGTAGCACACAGAAGGAACCCTGAGTCAGGATCCGACTTGTGACAGGAGAGAGTTAGGTGAGGGTAAAGGTCAGGGGGAGGACAGAAAAGGGGGCTCACCTTTGGGGAACCAGAGGGGATTCTTGGGAGCTGGAGCGAGAGTGGGACAGAGGAGGCACAGGCCTCCTGCGCCCGCCTTCTGTCCCCACTGGCTAAAGACGAGAATAGAAGTGATTCAGGCCGTCACGAGACAGCCATGGACTTGAGGTCCTCGGACCCTTCTCCACGTTCCTCCTTCATCTGTTACATAAGCTCAGGGAAATGTGCCCTGGACTCCCCAGGCAGATTTTGAGAAGGAACGAATGGATGCATTACATATATTACCATTTAAAGAACACGAGCCTCGGGGCGCCTGGGGGGCTCAGGCGTTCGGCGTCTGCCTTCGGCTCGGGTCGTGATCCCGGGGTCCTGGGATCGAGCCCCGCGTCGGGCTCCCTGCTCCGCGGGGAAGCCTGCTTCTCCCTCTCCCGCTCCCCCTGCTGGTGTTCCCTCTCTTGCTGTGTCTCTGTCTAAATAAAAAAAAAATTTTAAAAAAAAAAAAAATTACCACGAGCCTCTCTGACCGCGTTAGCAGCCGGCTGACGGGAACACGAGCGTTTCTGTTCGGTCAAAACTGTAGCGCTTGCCTAGTAGATTCGCTTCCCTGACCGATTCGGTAACTCTAGGCAAGCATATTTTCCATGCCAAGTTCTAAGCGGCTGTATCTGAGGTTTACTGATGAGAAAGATTCCATTCCCAGGAAGGCAGAGGAGATGCGTTCAAGGAGGATTTACTTGTTAGTGAACTTCCCCAGCTAGAAAAACCCTGCCCACATCGAAAAAGTCCTCATAGCCAGATTTGGATGAGCTTTCCCGTAAAAGCCCTGCGCCCTTGGCCGTGTCCTCAAGTGGTCAGTCACAAGCCTGAAACAAGGAGCAAGTGCTGAGCACCTTTCTGGAAGTTCTCTGTTCATTGCACCGTTTTAACACCGGGGCCACCTCTGAAGATGCCCGGAGGCCTCTCTCCCCGGTGCCTAGAGGCAGGGGCTCTCCCCGACTAGGCCGCCCAGGCCTCCCTCCGAGCTCTGGGGGGCTTCGGATTCTGCCGCAGTGGGGGCCGGCGCCATCCCCGTGGCCACGTGCCAGCGCACGGCCGGGGTCTGGGACCCCCAGGTCAGCTCGACGCGGAATGGAGCGCGTGCTTTGGGGGGGAAATGGAATTGGCCGAACGCGGGGCGAGGGGTAGCCAGCCCCCCACCGTGAGCCCGCTGCGGGGTCCCCTCCGGCATCTCTGGATGGAGGCTCCTTCACCTGACCCGTGTCTGACCCCGGTCTCTCCTGCGTCCCCTCTCTGCAGCTGCCTTACCTCAAAGCCAGAGAAGCTCAACACCATCAAGTGAAATTGGAGCGACGCCCCCGAGCAGCCCTCACCACATCCTAACCTGGCAGACTGGGTGAGTCCCCCTTTCAGACCTCCTCCAGGCTCTAGAGTGACCCTCAGCCTGCCTCGTCAGGCGGGAAGGACGTAGTAACAGGTGTAAGACGCCAGTGACAGAGGGGTTTGTCAGCAAACACAGGGTGCGGGTGTGTTCCTGGGAAACCGCTTCCTTCCCGAAGAAGCCTCACGACCACCGTTCCCTCTGACCTGGCTCCTCTCCATGGCTGTCCCTTTAGACGGGCCAGGGGTCCCGGCTCGCTCGCTCCCGACGCTGGTCCCGGGAACGTGGGGAAGGTAGGGGCCCGAAGGCAGACTGCACTTCCTTGCTCACAGCCCCCGGCGGCATTTGATTCGGGTTCAGCCTCTCTCAGGCCGACTTGCTGGGCCAGGTGAGAGGGAGAGAGGGGAGAGAGGCTCTGCGCACCCCGCGCTGGGCGCCGGCCTCACACGCTCCTCCGGGCGCCCCCCCCCCCGGAACCAGGATGCTTGTGAGGGCAAAGGGCAGGGGGCTCCGGGCCCGCCTCAGTCCTGGCCGGCTGCTTGCTGGTAACCCAACACCGGGGACCGGGGGCGCGGACCCTGAAAACCGTACGACGTGGCCCCCAGGAAAAGTCCCGAAACCGGCACTCAGGCCCTGCCCCAGCTTTCAGTGTTGGCGTCGAGCGCTCTGACGGTGGGGACAGTGGGGTGTCGTGACTCCCGAAGCGCAGCGGATACACGTAAGCTGCTGTCCTCACAATTCCTGCCTCTTCTGTTGCTCCTCAGACGTCGCCTCCAACCGGATGGCCCGCTCTGTCAGTGACGGGGGTGGGTAAAGGAGCCAGGGACCCCTTGTGCGACAGCTGTGTGTGAGCGGAGTCATCGGGAAACAGCGGGACCCGGACTGGCTCCACGGCCTGTCCGGCTCCCGCGCTTGGCAGCCGTGCTTTTCTTTCGGTTCATTTATCTGTGGTGATTTTAAGGCAGGTTTCATGGGGCCTCAGGATTTGATGGAAGGGAAGCTGTTGTTCACTGAGTGCTTGCTGTGTGCTCAGAGGCTGGGAGCATTCCTGACACGGAGGAGTCCGTATATCCCTCACTGCGGCCTCGCAGGGGCAACACGCAGATCTTTTGGTTTGACAAGATGAGGCCCGGAGAAAATCCGTGCTCTGTCCAGGGTCACGCGGCGGAACGAAGCTGCGTTCTCTGGCCTCGGGGGTCTTGTCTTTCCCCACCGGGCCGGTGGTTCTTACAGTGCCGTCCCAGACCAGCAGCCCGAGCACCTGTGGCCTGGGATCTTGCGAGAAATGCCGAGTCTGGGACCATCCATGACCTACTGACTTCCCAAATTAGAAGCTCAGGGGTGGGGCCGAGGCAGTTGGGTTTGAACAAGATTCTGACACCTGCTTGAGTTGGAGCGGCCCTGAGCTGTGCCCCCTGCTGCTGCGTCCATTTGCATCAGGAGAACCCACAGCCCCAAGTGAGGGGATCTTGCATCCCGCTCCCACTTCCTGGTCAGCCTTTGGGGCAGCAGCTGCCCCCCCCCCCCCCCCCGTCCTTACCCCAGGTCGTTGGGACCCTCTGGCGCCTACCAGCTCCACGCCAGCGCCATCTGGTGTGGTCAGGAGCTACTGCAAGGCCTCGGGCCCCAGTCATGCACCGAGATGAACTCACACGAGTGTGTCAGGTCTGCTGTCCAGATGGCACCCCCAGGGGCCCAACCCTTCCAACCAAATAAGAACTTCAGGTTGCGGCCTCTCTGGCTGGGTCCTCCACATTTTCTGGGTCATGCCCAGTCCCCTGATCTGATTGTATGACCGACGGCAGGCCTGAAATGGGTGAGCACAACCTCAAATGCCCACGTGCTTGAGCTGGCCTTGAAACCTGGGTCTCAACACAGAGAGCTGGTGAGGATTCAGGACAAATTGGGAACAACTTTGGTCCTTGACGTAAACCTTTATCAGGTTGAGGTGAATGCTCATTAACGACCAGTAACTATTCTCCGCGATGTGACCAGATGAGAAATGGGTTAAAAGTACCAAAGCTGCCTTCCTCACAGAACTGAAGAGGTCTTTGACTCACACTCCTGGGGGCTGAAAGTTCTGCATGCTGGGATGATCTGTCACTAACGCTGGGGTGTGGAGTCAGCTGATCTCTCCAATGTATTAATAAGCTACTAATCATGTCTGTGTCAGTTCCTCTCTTTAACATGACCTCTCTTCTCTTCCTCCTTCTGCTTTCCTTTGTTCAGAGAAGCAACAGAAAACTCACCCATTATGGATGGGTCTGAGTCTCCAACTCACCAAAGCACTGATGAATAGAGGTACCGTAAGGGAATGTTTGGTTTTCCTAGCCCTCCCCCCTTTCACCGCTCTTGAGTTTGTGGTCTCAGATGTGCTGCATGTGTCCCCCCTGCCCATATCGCCATTTCCAGAAGGCAACTTCTGAATGGTGTGGAAGCTGTTATTTTTATGTCTTATTTCTGGAAACGTGGAGCTCTGCTTATATGTATGTTTGTGTATTGGATGTTAGATATTCCCCATGCTACTTCCCAGAAAAGACCTCAGAGTATGTCTTAGCCCTTTCCAGACTCTGTGTACATACTGGTTTAGTGACCATGGTTTAATCCATGGAGAGAAGAGCATCCTGCAGGTTGACATTTCAAAGCACCTAAAGCAGACCGAGTTGACCTAGTCTCCTGAAGCGCACCCATGATTTCATCCAGCATTCCTGAGGGACAGGTGCCCTGCTTTCCAAAATGTGGTCCATCATTATTACTTGGGAGCTTGCTGGAAAACTAGACTCCTGGGCCTACCGAATTGGAATCTGCATTTTAACGAGGTCCCCTGGGTCAATCAAATGCACGTTCATATTTGCGAAGCACTGCTCCAGTGGGCAGAAAACCAGTAACACCTGGTCTGGTTCTGCTTCCAGGGGACCAGAATCTATCTGGCAGACAAAACGTTGAGATTTAAATAGTATTTCAAGGGTCAACTAAAAAAGATAAGGATACCATTCAGAAGCAGATAAAAAGTTGTAAGCTTATTCAACCAAAAAATAGAAACCTCTGTTCCAGGAACCATGCTTGAGACCAGAGTTCCAGGAGTTCACGGTCAAATCCACAGCTTGAAAAATCTAACAGGAGCCAGATGAGAGGAAGGAAGAGCAGGACTTAGGTGTTAACTCCTCGGAGACTTCAGAGCATTCCAAGGAGAGTGGGAGGACTTTGGCTTCATGGAGATACCTCTTGAGTCTGGCTTCCACGGCTTGGGGCTGAGGCTGGGGCTGGGGCTGGGGCGGTTAGGGACGTGGAGAGGGGCCACTCCATGGGCAAAAACACAGATGCAGCAACAGGTAAGGGTGTTCGGTAAACAGCAAAGAGCCTCATTTTGTTGTAGAGAGCGAGCCAGACTTCGCCCTCAAAAGCAGGGTGGGACAAGGTCCCGAACAAATTAGGAGGAGACATGGAAGAGTTTTTATTGGAATTCTCCCACGTTGGCAGATGGGAGATTAGGAAAACAGGGGCTTAGCCTTTAAAAGGAGGATGGTGCTCAAAAAACAAACCTCAACTGAGGAAATCGGAAAGACTTTATTGGCTTTATTCAACAACTCATGAATCGGGCAGCATTTCCTCTGCTAAATGAAAGGAGCTGTACAAGATGAGCCTTCTGTAAGCAGAAGGGAGCAGGAGCACGGATTTACACTAGGCAGAAAGTCAGTTGGTTATTTCAAGGTCGCTTTCCTTTAGGAAATGGCAGGGGGTCTAGCAGACACATGACCTCACTTGGGCTGATCAGGTGATGCCTGATTGACTAGTTTAAGACTTCATTTCTGGGAGAACTGATACACTGAGTTGAGGTCCTCAGCTTGGTGACATGGGTCTTAGCATCAGTGACTCTATTTTGGGCCTGGTTTCTTGTTTTTAACAAGTCCCTCCTTTTGATCAGACTCTCGGCCTCACCAAGAGATGTGATCAAAACGTAATGCTTGGGAGTTATCACAGGTTTTGGCTGAATCTCTGTAGGGTATTCACAGGTCCTGTGATCGGGTTCGTTCTTCACAGTGGTCATTCTCTTTGTTCCTTTTCTGAAGTTCTGTTCTTAGGGAGATCCTTTGCTGGGTGGTGAATGGCTGCAAACATGTATTTAAAGCGTGCACCATTGGGACTGCTGTCATTATTAGAGCAGGAGAAGGCCCAGTGTCTAGAGCGTCCTTCGGAGCCATGGTCCCCAGGGCCCAAACCAATTAGAACCAAGTATGTCCAAGAAAGACCCCGGTGAAGGAGTCCCTTTCTTAAGCCAGCTGCCGTGTGTAGTGGTCTTGTGTAGGTGAGTCTCAACTTTCCCAGAAGCGTCTGTCCGAGCACAGCGAGTGGTGTTGGCCACAGCACCACCTCAGCTAAAAGATAGTTATGGAACAACTTCGGCAGAGAGCCTAGGAATTTGTGAGGCAGCTCGTGTTCTCGCAGCTGATTCTGCCACATCTGAGAGAGTGAAGGAGAGGTCCCCAAGTGCAGCCTCGCTTGTGCTTACTCCTGTCTGGGAGGCGTAGGATCTGCCAAGGGAAACGAACTCTGATTCATGAATGCTTCCTGGTCATTCCCATTTGAGTCTGTGGCTTGGGACTCAGAGGAGGACAGCACGGGGGCCAGTACAACTCGAAGGTCTGTGGTTTTATTTGGTTTCCCTTGCCTGGTGTCCCCTTCTTTGCACAGAGCCTGGATGCAAAGTTCCCTGGGCCTGGAGTTCTTAACCAGGGACTGTGACATGATGGGGAGAGGGGCTGAAGCGAAGTTTGGGGCGGACAGAGCTGCAGGGGCACGAGGATCGGGGGACATCCGGCTGTCTTTTGGAGGCTAGATGACCTCTCCCTTTGCAGTGGCCTGAGACGGGTGAACAGTGGCATTGTCTCTGCAGGCCAGGGCCAGGAAAAAGGTGGGCAGAAGGGTCACGAAGACCTCCATGGAGGAAGAATTAGGGGAAGGATGGTCAGAGAGGGAGGGGGGAACGGAAACTTTATCCCACATCCCGGGAGGAA